CATTGTCTGCTCGTGTTCAGCTTAAGATCATCAGAACTCAGTTCTGCTGTACGAGCAGCTATTCCTATGTAAGTACTGCCAACCCGCACTGTTCAACACCTGTTTCTAAGCACTCTCTTCTCACTTTTATCTGTCTGTCCCTGGCAGCCTACACTCCTATTGCTGGTTCGTGAAAAGCAAACTGCCTGATGGTAGAGGGTCCTCAGCGCCGGTGCTGAGAAGAAGGGTGGTAGATGACAATGGATGTCATTAGACATTACCCAAGCAAATGCCTCATTTCTGGATCTGCCTTCTATGCTACAATGTCTGCAGATTTCATACCTGCTCTGCATCAAAAGCTCAGAACATGCAAGAGACTGTAGAACTTAAAACTGTCCACAAAATATGTCACTTGCTTTATTAAACTTACAATGTTCTACTAATTCATAATGGTTCCTTATTATTTTAATGTTCAGCTCAGAAAAAGAACTATTGAAAAACACATTTTAACAACATTTATAATAAAATAACTTGCCAGACACAGAAGCTATGTTTAGACTAGTAAGTTAAATGGGACCATGGGACTCTACCTGTAGCACTAAAACACTAGAACAATCCCTGGCATGGTTTTGGCTTAAGCCAACAAGCACTCCTGCAAACAACTCACAGACTGAGTCTGTGACTTAGCCTAGGCCAAGAAGTCATTGTCAACAGGAATTCTGTGTGCAATCACCATGCCTTGGAGATGAAGAGTTTAACATCATGTCCCAGACCATCACACTTGAATTTGTTCAGACAACAGGTCCTGATATTGGTTAGTTTGCTAATATAAATAGTCTCAGAAGGTTTTATTCATATCACCAAACCCAAGAAGACCAATCAATGCTCCTAAGCTTCTCTTGACACAATTCAGGGTAGGAAATGCAAAAGGGCAAAGATACCATCTCAGGATGCTTCTTTCTTTTTGTTGAGTAAAGAAGTAACCTACAAGAGTCTCTTAAGTTAAGTATATGAAGTTAGCACAAGGTAAGAAGGTCATCTGAAGATCACAGATATGCAAAATTAAGAACAATGAAGTCATTACTGCAATGAGAACCAGTGTGGGGAAATGTACTAAAAAAGAAACAGTAATAGATACTACAGGTAAGTAGCAATCATCCTGACTCTCAGGAGTTTTCTGGGGTTTTTAATGGCTATTTCCTGAGTAACTAATACCAGTCCTTATTCCAAACTAGCGGTGAAAGAGCTGACATTAGGATTTCCACTAAAAAAAGTACTAATGGACATGTGCATACACTTTGCTTCTATGTTTCCACTAGCTTAATGAAACAGATAAACATCCTCTAGTAGTCTGTTTATATAGCTGACTTCATCCAGTCTGACAAACAACACTGATACAAGAATACATCCCAGTGAAAAATAACAAGAGACTTAAATATTTAGATTTAAAACTGAATTCTCCATTAGGCACTGACATGCTAACTTAACTTGCAGGCAGGTTGTTACAGTCCTCAGAGATCTCATTCCTCAGCTTTACTGCTCTAGAACCAAAGCTAGCTTACTCATTTTTGTGTGAACTTATGAAGACATACTCCTATATGGCTTACCAAACCATATTAGTCAAAATCTGCATAGTGAGTTTCTTCCAAAACAAACATTTTTTACAAACTCTGATAAGTATTTTTTTGTTTCATCATCCTTTTGCAGAACAAAAGAAAATACCTCTTAAAAACATCAGCCCTGAAAACAGGCTCCAGTGTGACCTAGACATTATATTTACCTGTTGGCTTAACCAACAGATTCCTAAGACTGTTTTGTCTGGCAAGTTTATTGGGCATCAGGCAGAATTAACCGTGTTTTTCAAAACTTGATGATAACTCTGCTGAAGTTACTGAAGGATACAGGAATTATCAAACTGTCACCGTCCAACTCAAGACAAGACAGCAACAGCTCAGTTTTCAGCTTGAAAGAACTTCCAAAAATCACATCTGCTTTCAGTCTCCTCACCTTCATGCAGCTGAGATGCTATCATCTTGCCTGAGAATAGCAAGCTGGAATAGGAACCAATTAGTCCATTTTTCTGGAAGTTAGATTCTTTAAAAGTCAGAGTTGCTGACTTAATTGAGTTAGTGGATATGGTTAGAAGAAATTTTCAACTGCAAAAGGACTACATCAACACAAAAGGGTTAAAAGAACTATATACTAAATTCCTGAAGACACTAACATAATCTCTCCTATTGTTAATTTGTTTGTTCTTCAATTCTTCTCTGGTTTAACCTTTCTCTTTCCACTTTTATCTCATCCCAAGAAACAGCTACCTTATTTCTTATGTCCATTTGACTGACTCACAAAACCACAGCTTCAGAAATTTTAAGGAACAAAGCATTGTCTTTTAAGTCACATACTGATATATAAAAAGTACATCAAGGAGTTTACACATGGGATTGTTTTCTTTTAATTTTCAGGTGAAATTTAATGGAAATTCTATGAGTGTTAAAATGTAAACATATCTTAACTACACTAACCACACTGTGTTACCCTTATTCTGTGACTTCCGGAGCAATTTGTTTTCTATCGAATATGGAATGACAGCTCACACATGCTACTTATATGTATTACCAAATTTCAAGAGGAATTTAAGGAGAGATTCAAACATTCTTTCCAGAAATAAATGTTAACAGGGCTACAAAAGTTAAGTAGAAGGAAACAACGTAAAATAACAGAAATACTAAATTGGCTACTACATTTTAGGATCATCTTACAAGTAACCAAGTTGCTTGAGTAAACACTGGAGGAAGACAGCATGCAATGGTTCTACCACAACTTGCTCAATATAACTACTGTTATCTGAAAAATGGACAATTTCTAAAAGGCCATTACAATGCCACCTATAAAAAAGTATGCAACTAAGAAATAAAAGACATTTCCACCTGGAACCCCAATCTAGACTTTCTAAAGAAACTGTGTCCAGAACACAAACATCATACTGTGTCTTTCAAATCCATGGGCTGGGACATATTAGTTGGGTCAATTTAAAAAAGAAAAAAAAGAAAAAAAAATAAAAAAAGCCCTTCATAAATAGTTAAATACTTACCACTTTTTCAACATCTACTTCCTCTTCACTTGGGAAGTCAGAAGCACCATCCAGCATCTCATCAGCAGAATCATCAGTTTTTTCATCCTCTTCATCCTCATCATCATCATCCTCTTCTTCCTCTTCCATATCATCAGCAGTTACCTCAACAGCGGATGTGCAATCCTTTTTATGATGACTGGCTTCCTGTGTCCCCTGTTCTGGTGTCAGGACGTCACTTTTATCACCTGTATCAGCTTTCTTATCTGTCTCACCTTTATCTTCTAAAGTAGGTACAATGCTAGATATTTTGCTCCAAGAACTGTTGACATGTGTTACAATATCATGACCTGTTTTGATTTCTTCCTGAGAATCAAAAGCATCTTGTTCTTTGTCATCGCTGCCTTCCAGCCTAGTTACGTTTGCTTTGCCTTCCTCGGTGCTGACAGCACGCTCTTCTCCTGAAGCAGTATCCTGCTCTTTCGAAGAACTCATTTCAGACTTACTTGGTTTTTTCTCCCTTATGCTTTCTGCTTCTGTAGAGCACTTGTACTCCTTCCTCTCCGTGTGTGGCTGCACAGCATCACCCTGGCATTCATCTTTGTTCTGAGACAGTTCAGTCCCTCTCTGTTCCTTCTTCTCCTCCAGCTGTGTAACTTGCTCTTGTTGACTCTGTGACTGCCCAGAACTTGCCTTCTTGTCTTCCTTCATCTGTGTCTTTGCATCTCCTTCCTGCTCTTTTACTGTTGAATCTTTCTGTTCAGCATGTATTTGTTCCTTCCCATGGTTCTTCAACTGTGCATCCTCCTGATTCTCCAGACTCTGTGGATGTGCGTTACCCAGATGAGCAACTAGAGACTGATCTGGTGGCCCACAAACCATTTCAGAGTTAGCCGAAACAGCTTCCACTACAGTTTCAGAACTGAGAGAATCCTCTTTCTCCTCAGAGGCCCCTTTTTCTTCTTCATCATTTGGCTTCTCACTGATGTACGAATGGTCAGATGATATGACATCTGCAGAAACATCATGCTGAGAAGAGCAGCTATCATCACAAGAACTCTCTAGCACCTTTGAGTCTTTCTCCACTATCTCTAATGTGCTGGAATTTCTATCAGGTGTGATTGTGCCAGATGCTGACTCTTCAACATTATCTGACTGGTTAATCGACAACTCATTTTCTTCTTGTTTCCCATCTGGCACTGTGACCTCGGACTCTGTAACTACAGTGTCATCTGAGCACGACGCCTTCCCATTCTCCTTCTGCGGAGCAGCACCAGAGTCCTCCTTCTTGCATATTTTCCTGTAATCCTTCTTCATCTGAAGAGATGCAAAATGGTGAAGAATGGAGTTTGGGACAGTTTTCTGTCCTGGGAGCTGAAGTAAAGCAAAACTACCAGACTGTAAAGGTATGAGATTAGCAGTGGTAGCTGGCAGACCACCTGAGCTGCAGGTTATTTTAGACTCGGAGGCTGTTTGATTTGTGACACTGCTAGCAGCAGGAGGAGAAATCCTTAGAGTCAGAGTGCCTGCCTGTGACACAATACTTGTTACTGAAGGAAGAAGAGAAGATGGTTGAGTGGTTAGGTTAGACGTAGGGGATAACTTGGGTGCTGCAGTTTGTACAGCTGAATTTGGTGCAGGAGAAGTGGAAAACAAAGAGGAAGTGGGAGACGCAGGTGACTCAGGAGGCTTAGAAGGTGCAGGCAACCGGATTCCTACAATAGATCCTGTAAGGAAAACAAAACATCAACTAATACTTCCTCAAAGCAATTTTTTTCTTTTAGCAGCTGCACTAGAAGTAGCCAGCATTCTCAAGTATTACAATGTAATCAGGTATTTGACCACAAGCTCTCAGTGAAAGAACTGGTGCTGCATAAAGACATATAAACTGCTGAATTTTCATATGGAACACCCCAATAAAATACATGGGGCAGCTACTCTAAAACTAACAGATTTAATGGTAAGTTCTAGCATTAAGTTTTTAAATCAAGAAAGGCACTACACATTTGAAGTCCTCTACATTTTACTTCCCCATTTATTGGAAAACAGAAAAATGGGTATTTTCTCAAAAAAAAAAAAAAAAAAAAAAAAAAAAATTCCCCTCCTCTCAGAAAAACACTTCCACGGAGAAAAACTATGACAAGATTAGACAATTATACCACAATCTTTTTCACCTTAATGAACTCTTCTGCGGCATTTCAGAATTCCATAAAACAAGGAAGAAAAATACCACTACTGGCAACTAGTTTCTCTTGTACAGCAAAAGCCCCAAACAAGAAAGGAATTCAATTAACTTTTTGACTGATTCTTTACCACACTTCAGGCTCAAACCTCAACTAAGGCACCAAATTATTTTCTCTCCTCCCCACAGTTTTGTCTTCTACTGTACTTGCTCTTGCCTCTCTCCTTTCAACACCACTCTGCCTTCCTCTCCTCAAGATGCTTCTTTATAAAGGGAGAACAGATGAAAAATCCTACTGGAAAGTAAACACGCATTTCATGTATATTTTGCTTATGAACATTTTATTTATGAATATGTACAACAGTATGCTCAATAAGCATCCCACCTATTTTCTGTCAGATACCTGCAATTTCTAACTGTTCCAACCCTGTCTTCAACTATGCACTAGAGAAACAGCTGAAAATCAAACTTGTTTTTCTTCTCATGCTCTAAGGAGGAAAAAACCCAGCAATTTTGTACTGTAGTGTAGTATTTGATCTGAGTATCTGCTGTAAAAGCACTAACAAACCTGCAAACCAAACAAAACCAGAGCAGCACATCCAATGAGACACAGGTAACAGTTCATTTTTAAGAGAATCTCCAACAAGAATTATTTTTTAATTGCCAGATCAATAGAATTTCTTTTAAGTTCTGACAATACAAAGGGCATGGCTCCATTGCCACACCCACACAGTGTGGCTCTTTTACTTGCTGCACAGAACTCTCAAATTTTGGTGACTTAGCTATTAACTGCATTTTCTGTATTTTAGACACCTGGTATTTAAGTTGCATTATATCTGAATAATTACACTATGTTCTCTAACTACTCATGCAAAACCAAATTAGACTCTGTTCAATTACCTCCAGCAGAGAAAAGGAGCATCACAGAGACATTTATTACATCGTTAACTTCTGGGTAACACAATGGTCAGCCAAGAAAGAAACCCTGGACGTTTGTACCTGGATTGCGGAACATCACCGGCTGCACACTGGGCTGGGCACCTGCAGTTCGAAACTGCTGCAGGGGGACAAGCTGAATTATCTGCCCATTCGGATGTCTGAACAGGTTCACACTACCAGGGGTCCTGAGAGGCTGAAGGATCATCCTCTGCCTCTGACCAAGCTGTGTGTTGTTGAGCGGTCGCAAAGCAGGAGATGTCTGATGCACTGGAATCAGCAGCAATCGGGGTCCTATGCGTTTCTCTGTTCCAGGAGACATCTTCTGGGGAGTCGTGTTTACAGCTTGGGGAGAAGCATCTTCTGAAACATTTTAAAAGTTATATAAAAATCAGCTTAAGGGAACATCCTACAAATCAGGCATTATCCTTAATGAAAACAACAACAAGTATTTGGGAAACAACTGGATCTCTTAAAATTTGTTTGAAAGCATTTTTTCTCTTTTTATTTGCAGAATGCACATAGAACCGACCAGGCCACAACAGTCTTTTTCATGCAGTTCCATCGTCATTTCCCAACCACAACTCAGAAGACTTCCACGTTAACAACAAGACAGTAATTCCGTATCTACCCCTTGGACTCTGTGCCAATTGTGAAATTCTAGCAGTCATAGTGATAACTGTGCTATACATTTCTGTGGGCCAAGAAATTTTGTGATACTTCCAGCTCATTTCATAGCAGTCAGTGATCAGATAGATACATTTTTTTTCCTCCTCTACTGGCTCAGGCTGCAATAAAACAAGCAACTTAGGAGATTACATTTCTTATCCTATTTTGGAAAGAAGGGTGAGGCAAGTAAATCTATATTTAAATTGAGTTCTACGGTTACAGACTGTAGTCCAGCTATGAAGCAGGCAGAATAAAAAAAAGGAAGCATTTGCCATAATAGCCCAAAGTACCTAAGCCTTACCTCTTTTTGGATTCAGAGGACTTGAATTAACACCTGATAGTATAATCGGAACAGAGCCAGCAGAGGAGGTCGGTGTGGTCACAACAGATGTAGCTGTTGCAGTTGTTGTCAGTACAACTGTAGAAGTGGATGTTGTGACAACAGGACAAGTAACAGTTGGTGTTGTTACTACAGTTTTTGGTAATGATGTGGTTGTCACTGGTGCAGCAATCCCTGTTGCTTTTGTTACATCCAAAGTGGCAGCAGGAGTGGTGGATGAGGGAGCAGCACAGGTGTTGATTCCAGGTGTTGCAGGAGCAGCTGTGACTGTAACTGCAGGAGGAGAGCAGGCAGGTTCATTAGCTCTTGTTTGGCTAGGAGTGGTCACAGTAGGTGCTGCCACACCAGTACTTTCCACAGTAACTGGAAAAGTGGTGGTGGCTGTAGTGACCCCAGGAGAGACTGTGCATTGAGCTGGAGATGGCTTTGAAGGAACCACGGGAGCGACAACCATTATCGGCGTAGGCTTGATACTGAACTTCTGTGGCCCTGACAGAGGCTGGCGTGTGCTTGCTGCAGGAACCTTCTGCTGTAGAGCTCCATCCTTGTTTATCACAAACTGTGTGAACACACCACCAGGTGAGGGTCGGGCAGCTGCAAATAAAAACCTGCAGGTCAAAATTGTAATAGATTTCCTCTTTGCCTTTCATGAGGTGTTACAATTGCAATTTCACCATGAATATGAGCCTCCTCCTTTCTTTGTACCTTGTAATTAAATTCACACCTTTATGGCACTCCTGAACATGCCTCACGTATTAGAAATATGTCTGCTTTATTCCACTTCCATAGCTTTTTGTTGCATTTCTTCCTGACCACACAAAAGAATCAGGTCTTGGGGGGTTGTTCTTTATCGTGAAACTATGACTAGACAATTCTAATTACAGTACAGGAAAACAAACACTTAAGTGAAATAATAGTGAAATAGGGCCATCGGGATGATCCGAGCACCAATCCTATGAGGACAGGCTGAAAGAGTTGGGGCTGTTCAGCCTGGAAAAGAGAAGGCTCCGGGGAGATCTTATAGCGGCCTCCCAGTACCTGAAGGGGCCTACAATAAAGCTCGGGAGGGACTTTTTATAAGGGCAGTTAATGACAAAACAAGGGGAAATGGGTTTAAGCTGAAAGAGGGGAGGTTTAGATTAGATATTAGGAAGAAGTTCTTCACTGTGAGACGTGTTCCAGGTCAGACACTGGAACAGGTTGCCCAAGGAAGTTGTGGATGCCCCCTCCCTGGAAGTGTTCACAGCCAGGCTGGATGAGGCTTTGAGCAACCTGGTCTAGTGGAAGGTGTCCCTACTGATGACAGGGGGGTTGGAACTGGATGGGCTTTAAGGTCCCTTCCAACCCAAACCATTCTATGATTCTATGATAATGGGCTCAAACTATTTTCTAAACCTCCAATTATTCCTGTAACAGCTTGTGTGATCTTCCTCTTTTCACTGCTTCTTGGTTTTCACCCCCCTTCTACTGTACCCACATCTTACAGAGCCATGGGGGAAAGGGGCAGGAGGGAGATAAGAGTTTGCCATGTCACCTTTTCATTGTGGTGACATTTGTGCAGCTGAGGACTGGATGGGACAAATTTAACCCATGGGAAGCAATCGCTATTGGGAAGATCCTTTCCCTCCTGCCTTGCTCTCCATGGGATCAGAATACTGCATCTACATCACTCCAGATGCCTACAGGTGAATACAACAGCATAGATTATGGAGCAAGCCCAACTTAAATATTGTAGTTATGCATACAGCATTTACATCTCAGAATATGCCAGAACATTTCAATCACATATGCAACAATCACTTCACCCATCAATGAAATGCAGCCAGCTCTTTAACATTGCAGAAACACACAAGACCAGAAGTTTTATTACAGGACGAGAAAAACAACACACCCATTTACATGGCAGTGAAAACTGAGGCAGGAAGAAACAAAACGATCAATCAGAAATTAAAGTTTTGCCAGGACACAGGTAACATCCTTTTCTCTTGCAAAGCTTCTTCAGATCTTTACAAGCTCAGTATGAGCGAACAGTGGGCTGCTGCAGCAAAGAAAGCCAACAGGATGCTGGGTTGCATCGACAAGGGCATCACCAGCAGAGATAAAGAAGTCACTATCCCAGTGCTTGTGATGCCACACCTGGAATACTGTGTTCAGTTTTGGTCCCCACTATACAAAACAGATGTGGGCAGGCTGCAGAGGGTCCCGAGAAGGGCCACAAAGATGATCAAAGGACTGGGAAACCTGGTGTATGAGGAAAGGCTGAGAACCGGGTTTGTTCAGCCTTGAGAAAAGAAGGCTTAGGGAGACCTCATCACCACATTCCAGTATTTAAAGGGTGGCTACAAAGAAGCCACCAAAGAGGGAGACTCTCTTTTTATAAGGAGTCACATAGAAAAGATGAGGAGTAATGGGTACAGGTTACTCCTGAGGAGATTCCGACTGGACACAAGAGGACAGTTTTTCACAATGAGAACAATCAGTCATTGGAATCATCTCCACAGGGTAGTGGTGGATTCCCCAACATTGGACATGTTTAAGATTCAGCTGGACAGGGCGCTGGGCCATCTTGTCTAGACCGTGCTTTTGCCAAGAAAGGTTGGACCAGATGATCCTTGAGGTCCCTCCCAATCTGGTATTCTATGATCTTTAATTAACTTGTGGGAATATATGGATGGGCACTAGATACTTTTTTTTTTTTTTTTTTTTAAACTCATGCAAAATGTAACAGTTAAAGGCAATTTCCTCTCTTGCTATGCTGGGGTAACCATTTCAGTACCAACTCAAATACAAGCACCACATGCTGCTTCTGTTATTTTTGGGTTTTTTTAACTCAAAGTGCTGACTAAATCCAACCCTGTTTAGCTTGTGAAATCCAATGAGATTACAGGCCAGTGTGGTTATTGGCTGCACACCTGTTGTTTCGCTAATCCAGATTTGGACCATCTTGTCTTTCACCGCTGCTTCACGCATCTTTGGTGGTCACAAGAATTCTAATCATAAGTGCAACATCATCAGAAAAACTAACAGCGAAGAGGCACAGATTAGAGTGATCCTTAACTCATTTTAAGTTAAATGGATGTCTGATGAGCAGCAATTAAAAATCATAGTAAGGAAATTCTCAAAACAAAAATCCAAGCTTAACATTCAGCGTGTCTCCATCCACTCTTATTTGTCTCTGGAAAATATGCTCTAGTAGCATTAATAAAATAACTAACAGTCAACATCAGTAATCTTATTCTGAAGTTAAAATAAAACTTTCTGCTTTAAAGAGGTTATTTGTTGCAGAGGCAGTTGAGGTAGGCACTGCAGCCAAAGGCAGCATGCACTGTTGCACAGAAACCAACAGCAATGCTGCACGCTCACTTTTTACTTCAGCTTCACGCAATTTAAAACACAGTAATAAGTTCCAACCTACCTATCTGTCTCTGTGCTGGGACATGGGTTTTCAGAGTCGTCACAGTGGGGGTTGAAGTAGTGCTGGTGGAAGATGTAGTTTTGGGAGTTGATGTTGTGGGCACCTGGACTGATGGTGTCCCAGAAGCAGATGCTTTAGCATTGGATGCTACCTTGGAGATCACAGTACTGAGGGTTGAGATATCAAGTACTGTGGGTCGCAGCCTGCCTGTGATATAAGCTGCTAGCCGATTGGCGGGATGTAATGCCCCCATCTGTCCCAAAAGCAGTTTGGCCTGAGGATACCTTTTATCATTAACCTGAAAAAAGTGGAAAAGGGAAATTTTGTGAAAAGAATGCTAATTCACCACCTCTGGAGAGGTGTTTCATTCCATGGGACTTCCAAATGTCCTTTTCAAAAAACACTGCAGTTCAGAATGAGAATTCCGAATTTCCTCACTGCCCAGGAGAACTTCAAACAACCCTGTTATATCTTTATAATACAGATTTTAGATGCTACTCAGACTCTCACACAGAACCACAGAGTCCAAAGGAGCATGTGAAATCACTGAAATTAGATAAGAGTGGAGCTAGCACTTCTTTTCCCTGTCTCTCAATTATGCTACAGTCCTGATTAAAAATAGGTTTCCAAATTCAATGACAATTTTAGATAAAATTCTCAAACCTAATTAGCACCTAGCATCACAAAAGAAAGAATACTTATGTCATATACATTGGGACAAAACTCTAAAGAGCTTGTAAAAACTTTACCAGGTTTTTTCTTATCCGTAGTGTCAACTGATACAGTAATTAAAGCACAATGAGTTGACTAACTTCAAATTCAGAGTTGCAGTAGTAACTGACTGCATGGGAGAAAAGAAACACAACACCTTTCTGAATGTCAGGTTTTATGCTCACTGGTCAATGGGAAGTTTTGGTAGTGTTGCATTTTACTTTCAGGTTGATTGATAATACCTTCTAAAAGCCAAATATATTTAACATACTACTAAGTAAGGTCTTGACTCTTCTTATTGATCAACTTTTATTAAAAAAAAGAATTCTCCCCCTAAATTTTTTCTCTCCATTAGTTTCTCTGTGAGGGTCCCATATGTGCAAAGTGTCATTAAAATAATTTTTACTCTAATTCATGTGCCTTCTCTGAAAGTGGTGTTGCTATAACTACAAGTACCTTTGATTGAAAAAGATCTTCATCCTAGCCCTACAGTTCCTACCTCCAACTCATAATACCACATTAGCAGCATGAATCTGCAGGGAAAGGGCTCGCTTTGAATTTAGGATTACAAAGTCTCTTGATGAACAACGTATATTCTGCAAAGGGGACACGGGCTAATAGTGAAGATTAACAGTAAGCTGTAGCAAAAAAGCATTTAGGGTTTACAGTCTCATTCTCAAGTTTTGTCCCAGTGTACGCTTCCTCAGAAAACAGTCTTTTTGAGGCCTCTAACAGTCAATTCATTTAGAAGTATTATTTGTCAAATGCATCTGCAGGGAATTTTCCAAAGCACCAAAAAGATCTTGAGAGACATTCTGTATTTGAGTCACCAAGATCCAAATGGCCAACAGGACAAGTTAAACCATTGGATTTCAGACTTCTAATCAGACTTCCTGTTATTCAGTCAATCTTGAAAGAGACAAGCTTATGGAGAGGCAGGGAAGCCACCAGAAACTAAAAAGCCCTGTCTGGGC